TATATGAGTACATAAATGCAGCCGTATCTACCGTAGCGATTACTGACAAGATACCTACGGGAAACTCGTACGAAATTGCTTTTTCAGTCATTCAGAACGAGGCTTTTTTTTTGCAGGTTTTTCACCGTTTCACTTCGCTTCATCGCCATTTTCCCCATTTCATGAAACCTCTGCTACCACTTTAAACCGAGTCTCAAATTATCGTGCCTTATATCTTCAAGGGAGCATTCCGCGACCAGCGAAGAATTCCAATCCCTTCCACAGATAAGCAATTTGGGCCCATATCCACCGAGGTGGCTCCCTTCGCCGTTCTGGAGCGCAGAAAAATGGTCTGGAACCTAATAACTTGTTATTTCATCTGCAGATTTCCACTCGCATAAGAACGATGCTCACCCACTGTGCCCGTGTTATCGAGGTAGTGCAGGCTTGATAATGACTGCGATCAGATAGGAAATGATAAGGACTCGGCGGTGAAGTGACGTAATAGGGGAAAGCGTTGCAATATCAAGAAATGAGAACCCATGTAAGGCCGCGTTCATAGCTTGCAACCGTGAAGAAATGCAGAAATGAAGAAATGCGGAATCTGCAGAAATGACGAAAAGCATTAAATACTTATCGATAAATGCAGAAATGCGGAATCTGCAGAAATGACGAAAAGGATTAGATACGTATCGATTTTCCGCAATTCGTCATTTCTGCATTTCTGCAGATTCCGCATTTCTGCATTTCTTCAAATCGATATGTATTTAATGCTTTTCGTCATTTCCGCAGATTCCGCATTTCTTCATTTCTGCATTTCTTCACGGTCGCAAGCTATGAACGCGGCCTAACCAGGCAATTTCATCGCTGTGTGTTTGCTCATTTGTCGAAACAAGAGGCAATTCTTCTTCACTAATAATCAGCTAGCTTTAATTATGGGCCTTGGTGACAGCCGCCTTTAATCAAAACAGAAGTCACTGTAACAATATTGTATTCGGTACTCCTTGTCAAAAATAAGAGACAATTGCCAGGTTTTTCTTTGCTACTTATGCTGTCCCACTATTTATTTTGTATGATGACCTTCTTCGAAAGTTCCGATTGATCTTTGTTCCATCGGGTTTTGCACTGAGTGGTGTAATCTGCTTAATCTGCTAGCGTGGAGGACGTTCACAATCAGGATAAGATATGGGGTGTGCAGCGCCACTATGACTACATTCCAAACCAGTGGAGTTCCCATCATCATGTTGCACTTTGACACGATTGCGCCATTAGAAGTTACCAGTTTACGCGATAATCTGTAGCCAAACTCTCCTTTGAAGATCAAAAGCCACCGAAAACTCAAAATTCATGGAATTCCAGTGAAACGTTTTGGGGTTCAGCACGGCAAGGCCTGTAACAATACCAATTTGAAACCGCTAAACATGCTGAATATAGTTATGGAATTTACAAGTGAGGAGATAGTGTAGTGAAAGTGGCACGCTTACCGCGCGTATGGTCCCGGGATCAAATCCTGCATCGGTTACGCCTATGCCAAGCAACCTTCTACCCCCTGGGGGCGGTAAATTGGTACCAGATTCATCAGCTAGGGTAAAAACGCTGACCAACCATCTCATCGGCTGGCCCTCACGCAATCCATTGTACTAAGGCCAGCAACCCTCAAAGTAATCCACTGCGATGTTGAATGAAAGTTGAAATTAGGCGCCGCATCCCAGGAATGGAATTGATCAAGGGCAAAATATTTGTATCTTTACCTTTTTATTCACAAAATAGCTTTACTGATAGCAGCGTCGGCGAAACCACCCTCCGGAGAAAGCTGGCAACACCTGACCGACAGTCACTAACCAGCATCCCAGATGGTCGAAACGCTGCGAACGGTTGCCTTGCGAGACTTTCCCAGTCGATACTCTCACATTAAGCTAAAGTGGTAATGCTGAACCGCTCTTAATTGGTGAAATCAAGCAGTGGGCCGAGACTCATTTCCAACACCTCCTGACCCCCCCACCGATTGCGGCGAGTCATCAATTACATTCTGGCCATGAGAAGGCAGCTGAATGAATTATTTACAGCACATAGTTTAAGAACTATGTTGTTGTTGATTCATCGGCCGAAATAATTATTATCAAAACTTCATTAAACTGGGTAATCTATCTAGTATTTGCTGGAGATTGCTATATTTGCACGAGGTGCAGAAAAATGGTTAGTCGCATGGTGCCCTCGCTTGCCCAGCGGCCTCGGGTGTCCTGTGATGAACCCCTGATCGCTACCACACCCAAGCAAAAACCAATCACTTCCATCTGTTCCGGAGCAGATAAATATAAGACAATCGAGAGTCGTAACCATGACCTCTGAACTCGCCGGCCCTCCGCAATGTGATTGTAATGTAGAGCCTATGTGCATTCGAAAAGCCGCTCATGAGTCCTGCATGGAAGATATTTGTGCGTGGTTTATCCAAGAACGGGACTGCCAACGCGTGACAGAGATGTGCACAGGCAAGCCTGTCATACTATAACTGCGATGTGTTATGCACTAAAATTATACTTCCTGTCGATATTGAGTTTTCGACCGGGCCGTTTTGTCGGAGAACTGAGATGACACTATCTTTATCTTGTGTGCATAACGGTCCGTGCAAGACGATTGAGGCGTGTGTACGCGCTGCGATTCGAAGTGCCTCAGGCGCCTTTTACCAATATTTATGGACGCATCACTGTGCCCGATCGTCAGCTAAATCAGTAATCTGGTTGAGACTAGCTTCCGAAGCCATCGCCCCTGGCACGCGCGCTAATTGTTTGGGCAGGATCATGCCTGTACATTGGCGCGGCACACTAGAACAGGAATCTATCACTAGCAGCTTTAGTGATATTTAGGTCCGATCGGTAATTGTTCACTTCTAACGTGTTCAAGCAACGGAGCGATTAGATAGACCCGGCAGCGTGGTGAAAAAGTGCCAACATTTGGCCAACCTTGATTAACGTTACCGAGTTCAAAATTGCTCATTCTGCAAGGCTGCGGTCAAAAACCAGCGATGTATAACCGATATGCTAAAGGTTTTATGTGGTTACTTCTTAGGTGGGTCGCGCCGCATACTCAGATGGGTGGATCTGGATGTGGTCCAAAGTTGAGCATCTGAGTTGGGACAGCTTAATGATCTGTGGTGTCATGCATCTTCCAATCGCTCCACCTAAGCTTCCCGAACAGTTCTGTGCCAGGTGCTGGTTAGATCCAGGTGGGATGGAAGACCTCCTCAACAGGGACGAGATTTTTCCCAATGTTACGTTTGAATAGTTACGCGCTGTGCTTAGACAGGCCCCGCTTGTGCTTTAGCAGGCCCCCAGGGTACAGCATCGTGATGTGTGAAATGGCGGTGTCAGTAGGACTCCCCTCCCCGGAACAAGACTTGCATGACCCCCTGCTCTAGTTATTTGCTTCGATGAGAAAAAAAATAGAAAGGTAACGACTTGCAAGCGCTTGCGGCCGCGTTATGATTCCATGGCAAATTAGCGGTGGAGCAGATCTGTTGGCCGGGTGGAAATCGCGGGGCTTTTTTGTGGGGATGGCATTTTTAGCTATGGGGGGGGGAGGCGAGAAATGGGAGACGGGATGTTCAATCAACGTCTCTACTATTGCGTGTTCTATAATACCTACTCGCTATGTGAATCTTTCCCCGTTCGTTAGACATTTCGGATGGGTTAGTGGTAAATCGCGAGGGGATTTTTATGCTTCTGACGAGAATAACTTCTTTCAAAGGCAATCATTTGCAAAATTCAAATCTCCAACGGAACGTCCAATATTTTTTCTCTCCAACAGCTCTACAGTTTTCCTGAAGACCCGCTAGTTTAGAAGATATTTCAGATGGGTCACCCTTGGGCGACATTCTGAGCCACTCAAAAGCTCGACTCCTTCTGTGCCATTGTAAGGATACTCATTCGCGAACTTCAATATGCCTTCAAAACACATATTCCCGTTGAACTGAGTCAAAGCATAATTTGGTTATCATCGATCGATTTGGTCCGAGTGTGCGCCGTGCATTACGCTTCTACGCAGAGGTGGTGGAAAGGTGTAACTTCTGATTTTAGGTGATTTTTGTCCATGCAAGCAGATGTTTGTTCAGGGTTTGGAAAGGTCGATACGCACAAATCTGTTTGAGATGTATTATTTAGTCATCTACGTACTTACGAGTTCATGCTAAGTATTGAAATTGCTAGTCAATTGATTTGATATTTTGTAGTCTTCCTTACATCCGGGTCCTCTGCAGCTTTCCGTCCGCTCCATCAAACTTAGCGATGACACTTTTGTGCTGTTTGGTGCACCGACCCTGCGTTTACGACCCCCTCCCCAGGGGCCAAGTACGGCCCCTCTGATGGGTCTCGCACAACGATGCTGTACCCTGAGGCCCCCACTAGTGGTCGCATAGGCAAAATCGCCAACCGAACGCCATAAGGATTTCGAGTGGAAGTGAGGTGCGTGGCACATTCTCTGTTGGGGCACGGCTACTTAATCAACCCCAGAAGCTTTATCGCTTCTCAATGCTACAAGTGTGACGTAAAGCTCGGCCCACCACGTCAACCAGCATAGTGAGAGGGTGGAATGAATGGGAGAGGGCCAGTCTCGCTCAAATTCGATTTCTATTTATGACATTATTCACATGTTCCAGTGAAGAAAGTGAAACCATTCTATGTTAAGTAAAATTTCCCATCATGATCATGTTCCTCTCATCATGGCACCTGGGAGTCTTGAAGGATCGGTAGAGCGTTCGCTCCAATTTTCCAGCCCCATCCCTTCGTCGATTCCTTTCCCTTTCTCACGTGAAAGGCTTTCCCTTGGTTACCGGTCTGCCCACCTAATCATCTCATATGCCTCGATGAGATCGTGCAGTCGTTTTGGGGACTGTTCGCTTCGAAGCTTGCTCACCTTTCCCCCCGGTTGTGGGCGGAATAGGGCGGGGGAGGGGCGGTCGGGTGAGCTGGCCCTGACACTTCCATCACCTGACCGCACTCGCAAATTTCCACTGAAGGACGATGTGGATGGTGTCGCCGTGGCTTCTCGTTGTCGTCGTCATCTCGCCAATTCTCATTAACGCTAAGTCATTGAGCGGAATCGAACTCAAGGTATACGTTCACATATGTGTCTATGTGTGTGTGACCTTGCCATAACTCGCTCATTTCATTTCGGTGGCCATGCCATACTGGCTTAATCGCCATCGTAATCCGTACTTTCTCGTTACCATGAAATCGTTAAACCGCTGCCGATTTCCAGCAAATTCCGGCCATTAATCCATCCATTTAATGGCGAAGTACACATGAATTTCTCGTTTAGAACCCATCATGCTCTTACGCAAACGAATTCATGTACTTGTCATGGCAGTACGATGATGCCAGTACCGAGATCGTCTTCAAGATGATCGCGAAATCAAACGGCGTTAAGAACTTCTTGGCTGGCGTGTTTTTCGGAGAGGAACAGCCGGTAAGAACTGCAGCATAAAAAATCAAGTGGATGTAGTCTGAGCTGGTCTTTTTCAGATGGATTCAATCGGAGCTTCCGTGAGAAATGGCCAGATCGGTGTCATGGACGGGCACGTAACCCGAGATGGCCGGGTTGAACTGGACAATGTTACCAATGTACAGTCATTGCTATTCGATCTACAGAACGACGTGCTGACTGTGGAATTCGCTCGTCCTTCATATACAAACGACCGTTTCGATACAGACCTGTCCAATTGTGTGGTACGAAGTTTTTGAGTTGCTGTAATCTCATTCCATTGTAGTAAAGCGCCTTTGTAGGATGATGGAGGGTTACCTTGAAGCAGATTCGCATTCACACTATTGCTTTTCGATATGTGGGCACGATCATGAAATTTCTAGCCCCGCAACCTTTGGGAATAGTTTGAGAGGGATTCAGAGAAGCTCAGGGAGGGGGGGGGAGTGAGATGAGAGGGCTGCGATTGAGAGGAGACTTCAGCTCGAGGATAGGTATGTAGTAACTTGTTGGGAGGTACTGTAGGTGTTCTATAGTAGGAACAGAATAAGCGCTTTTTTTCAGCAAGAGGGATGAAATATTAGAGCTGGCGCATGCTTCTCTCTATAATCGATTTTCCTTATATTTTCGTAGTCTATACAGGCAATCTCGTGTCCTCTACAAAAACCAAAAATTTCCATTTTTTTCGAACTT